TGCTATGTGACTCCAAACTCAGCCTATTTGAGCCATCAATAACTGTACTCCACCTCGCTTTAAATACTTGCCACCTGGAAACTATTGAGGCAGCATACCATATCTGAAACCTCCTTAGCATTATCTCTCTGTGGGCAAGGCTTTGTAAATATTCAGATTATTCGGTTTCATGTGTCTTTCAGGGAGAAGGCTTAGCACTCTATAAAAATGAAAGATGGAGATGATATATGAATTCTTCCTGCTAAATTGATCACAGACTTGGGAAGAAATGCTGCTTCTTTTCTGATAATGTTTCTTCAGATTGTTTATTTACTAAGGATGCAGCCTCCTATAATTTCTCAGTTCCCACAGTAAAAAATAACTATGCTGCTCTGAAAAACTGGACAGTTTCTGAATATAGAAAGGAGCCTACTGGGCTGCATTTACAATATGTCTGTTAAAACAATCTAAAAATGGTTCCTGAAGACAAAAAGTTCAGTCTGGGGTTCTAACTATTTTTATGCCACAGACCCCTTTGGGAGGTCTGATGAGTGCTAAAATTTCTTTTGAGAACAATATTTTTACATGCATAAAGCAAAATATATAGTTATAATGCAACCAATTACATCAAAACATGTCTATCAAAATATTAAATACAAAATTCTGACATAGTGATATATACATTTATCAACAAATATCAAACCTATTGATGGCTCTAGTAAAGACTAGAATGTTGAAGAAATGATGAACATAAATAGTATGTCAAGATTATACGGTTGGATGTGGCGTGAAAATGTCTGTTATCATACTCTTAAATACTGTTGTGATTTGTTGCTCACCTTCAAAATTGAAGTAAATGATAAATTTCAGTTAGAAGTTAGTGACAACAAATAGAAAATTTCTTTCCCATCTAAGCTCACAGAGCCCTTAATTCTCATGCTAAGGACAAACTTACAAAGGAGTTAGTTTATTCAAATCTGCTTGTACAGATATTTCCCTATGGCCATCACATTGCAGAAGGATTTTAGTCTTGAACTTAAAAACGAATCAGAAGGACTCTTGCCCTTTTTTTGTTGGGAAATGCAACACAACACTCCTTTGAGCCTTCTGGCCTTCCCCTGCAGCCCTTTCCTGCTGCATTGCTGGCTGGTGCGAATGACCCCCAAGCACCGCGAAGGGTCTAGAAGTTGACCCTTGAGGGGGCTGGATGAAAC